GGCAATAGGAATACTATTAATGACTGTACTGTAGATCATAAAATTACTGGTACAAGTATTACTATATACTAGTATATTGTACAAACAGTTGTACCTTGATATTTGATATACTTCTGATGATCTTCCTTCTCTTAAGCTAGGTTCAGAATTCTTGCTTTGCGACTGGAAGTGCTGTATAACGCAATGGTGAACGCAACAATAGAACCAGTTCTATTCTTGCGTTTTACCATTGCGTTATACAGCACTTCCGGTCGCAACACAAGAATTCTGAACCTAGCTTTAGTCTCAGCTTCCATTCTCCTGGCTTACCCTTTAGCTGGTAATAACCCTAACAATAACAAATAACATTAAAATTGGATTTTAAGAAACAATTTGGCCAATTATTGTCAAAAATAAAAAGGCAAGAATTCTTCATTTTTATATTTTTATCTGATGCATATACATGTTCTTATGTTGTGTAGAAAGTTTGAGCTGATTCTGACAAAAATTAGATTTTTAACGAATATTTTAAGTTTCTCCAAAATTGAGCCAAAATCCCTGTACTATAGTACACAGTCATTGGCCTGTTGGAAAACCATTGTTTCTAAAAGTTACATGGTAACTTTTTACACGGAGTAATTTTTACGTGGAGTAATTTTATGATAAATGGAGCTCAGGAAGTTGGATTTTTATGGCTATAAAGACACATTTCACTACCCGCCATAAGGTACCTTTTGTCAATTATGGTCACATTTTATAAAATAAAAGCAGACAGATAAGGTCCTCTAAAGAAGGAGGCATTCAACTAGCAGTCTATACTACTGGGAAACATCTGCTATACATTTCCACAGCCTTCTTGATCGCCGTTATTTTTCATTACCCTCAACCTAGGTTGTTATCTTCCGTATTGGAGGTATTTGACAGCTTTATAACAGAAAAAAGGTCTAGCTAGTGATAATGAAAGGTAGTAGTATCCAAAGCAAGGATAAAATAGACAATAAAAGGTCTTAGAGGTGAAGAAACGCTCAATGAAAGAGTTTGCTTGCACTCTGCCACCATGTTTGGGTGTGGCTAGGAATGACGTTTTGTGATGCAAACATTGATTTACTTCCTGTGGCAACTCAAATGAAACTGACTATACAGTAAATTACTTTTCATTAGTTACTGTACTATCACTATTAAACACTAGCCCATTGATATTATATCAATTATTAATACGCGCAATTATTAATAATGACATCATAATGCCATATAACTATTAGTAATAATTACTTAATCGCAATTTTTAATACCAGCAAAATCTACCTTGTGCTAAAATCGCAAAATTTAGTACCCGCAATTAAAAGTCACTCTAAGGTAGTTCAGGATCAGTATCAGTACCCATCACATACTGTAGACCAGGTATAGGAGAATCCATATGAGCATCAAAACACTGTCCTTAATAATAAATAAGAGATACAATAAACTACTCTTCATTAGTTACTGTACTATCACTATTAAACACTAGCCCATTGATATTATATCTAGATTAAATTTTTGGGAGACTAAACTAGCTAAAATGGTAGACTTCAGGACACATGGCAAAATATGAGTGACCAAAAGCTACAGGAGATTTCAGGTCCTTGTCATCATCAGACTATAGGTCATTGGCTAAATTTCATCAAAAATGAAAAGGAGAGAAGTCTCACTGTTATAATTTTTTCTGATACATATACATGCTCTTACATTGTGTTGAAAGTTTGAGCTCATTCAAATCAAAATCGGATTTTTTAACAAATTTTCTAAGTTACTAAAATTTTACAAAACATAAAAGGTCAAACATGTACATGTACATACACTGACTGTGTGTCCTAACCTTGTTGTATTGGTACCAAACACACAGCTGTACGAGAGACCAGAGGAGGTGGGGGAGGGGCAGGATGACGAGCGGAATAACGTACCTCAAGATACTTTGAGTCTCTGGGAATGTGTCGGGTAAATGAAACACATATTTTCTATCAACACTCTAAATAGTGAGAGACATGGAGATAAAGGATTACATGTACATGTACATATGTATATTTACTTTTGATATTGGTCATACATGTACATGTAACTCAAAAATTTAATCAGAACCAGGTCAAACTTTTTACGTAGCATAAGGATATAATAAAATTTGGGGTGATTTTAAAGTCATTTTTCTGAAAAAAAAGATTGGCTATAGCCTTGGGTATTTTTCAGAATCTTGATAATTTCTTAAAATGGCCGTAATTTGAAAAATCAAAGTCAAAATCAGCTCAAACTTTCTACACAGCATAAGGACATCAATATGTAACAGAAATGTTGTGTAGAAAGTTTGAGCTGATTCCGACAAAAATTAGATTTTTAACGAATATTTTAAGTTTCTCCAAAACTGGGCCAAAATCCCTGTACTGTAGTACATGGTCATTGGCCAAATTGATACTAATTTATCATTCTATAAAAATAAAGAATATTCATGTACACATGTACATTAAAATATTTTAGGAGGTGAATTGAAAGCAATCAAATTCACTAATTCATACAGTAATTCACAATAGAGCTATTGCATGATGTACTCTCCTACCTTTCTCTATAACCTGAAATGTCAATTGCAGAATTTATTCAGATTTTTTCTCCATTCCTTCCATTCCTCCATGTACATTCTTGTCACCCAACATGGCAGACAATTTAGCTCAAATTTAGCCACACCCTCCCATTGATTACATCAGTGCAAGAACTCTATGAGACGTAGATCTAATTAAATATGATAATAATAATAATAACCCACACCCAACACATAAACATTAGCTTACCAGATTTCCATAAAAGCTGAGAGAGAGAGAGAGAGAGAGAGAGAGAGAGAGAGAACAAAATTATCTCCTTGACTCGTGTGAATTATGTCAGTGTAATCTTCTTTGGTCACTTCCTGGAATAAACTCTCTGGTACTTCTTCTTTTCGTTTTTCTGTTTCTTTTTCTCACTGGAGTGTCCCCTGCTAGTGAAGGACCTTCAAGAGAAGAAGAGAAAGGTCACTTAATGTTCTCTTGTGCTTACTTTCTGCCGCCATCTTTGAGGAATGCAATTAGTGAATGAGCCACGCCCTTATCCAGCCCCACCCTAAACTTTCTGCAAACTAAAAGTAAACAATGGCGACGAAGAGCAGCAACTATTCCTCTCCTCCTTCTTTCTTCTCTTCTCCTTTGACTATTGGTAGGTAATATCCATTATAAGTACTAGATCTATAATAATAATTATTATTTAGATCAACTTATTGATGTTGTTGATCTACTGGAGAGATGTGGTTTCCCTCAAACAAGATGGCATGAGCTGGGACTTAAACTAGGACTACACAAGTACACACTGGATGTTTTGGAAGCAGTTTTTTCTCGTGACATATCTCGGTGCTTGACAGAGTGTCTCTTCAAGTGGTTGCGTAGAGCTGATAATGTTGATAGTAAAGGAGGAGCTACCTTTGACTCACTGTCAGATGCTCTTAAATCTATGAATGAGAATGCTGCAGCTGACAAGTTAGATCAAGAGAGTAAGTTAATATCACTGATTGTATTAGTATTGACTGTGTGTGTGTATTCTATAGAACGTAAAGCTAAGGCTATTGGTATATTCAACACTCATCATCCACTCCTCTCTCAGTCTCTCTCTGATCCTGTCAGTGTAGCTATTATGCTTCAAAGAGAGGGTGTCATAACAGGACAAGTATTGGCTAGTG